GCTGGCATGTGGTGCTGGGGGATCGAACCGCGGTCCCTGATGCCTTGCCAAGCTTGTTCCAAGTAGGTGCTTTAGACCACTGAGCCATCTCTCCAGCCCTCTCACCTGCTTGTAATGCTACATTTAACCTTTGCTTCTTTTTTGTTTTGTTAAACTTCTGTTACTTCTGAAAATGAACACTGATAAGTAAGTACAAGTCAGTTGTGCATTGCACAGTGAAACTTTGGATGTGAGCTATTACCAAGAGTTGACTGCATGCGTGGGGAGAAGGGAGAGAGTGTTTATCTCTGCGATAAAGCATGTGAGTGTCTGATAGATATTTTTGCTTTCGTCTCTTAAACTTCTACCTAGATCCGGATGGCTGAGCATGAGGGTGACTGCTGCATAAAGTGACAGGTGTTTTCTGCTTTGTTAGGTAATGTCAAGAAAAGCAAGCAACTCCTCCACAAAGCTGTGGACAGTGGAGCAGTGCCGCTAGAAATGCTGGAAATTGCCCTCCGGAACTTAAGCCTCCATAAACAGCAGCTGCTTTCAGAGGAGGAAAAGAAGAGTCTGTCAGGTAACTGCTAGTGTATGCTAGTGCCTTTCTGTGGTAAATAATACTGCAAACAATTCAGGATGATAGCACAGAAAATTTTCATTTATGTGGAAAGGTCAAAATCTTTTTCTTATGATGCAGGGTCTTGCTATGCAGTTCAGACTCCTAGTGATCCTCCTGTCTCAGCCTCCAAAGTGCTGGGATTATTGGCATGTGCCACCATGGGTGTGGAGCTGGGGCTCAAACTCAGGACCTTGAACTTGCCAGGCAGGCACTTATGCCTCCAAGCTATGTCCCCAGCCCGGAAAGGTCACAATCTTTTTTTTTTTTTTTTTTGCGGAGCCAGGGATTGAACTCAGGCCCTTGTGCTTGCCATGGAAGCACTTACTGTACTGAGCTATCTCCTCAGCCCCAAGGTCAAAATCTTAAGATTAAATTATGAATATAAAGGGAGTGAGGTTTTTTTTTTTTTTTTTTTAGAAGTACAATGGTCTTTACAACCTTGTTGACAATTTTTCTAATCAAAAAACGAGGATGGGTTTTGGAAAGAGGGTGTACTTTTACCTGGGAAAGACAGTTTTACACTTAAGGACAGTTTGAAGAGCTGTAATACTTAGCATTATCTTCTTACCATCCCCATGTCTACATACCTTACCTGTGGGCAAATATTTATTTTAAATTGATTTTATAGGTATTCTTATTTATGAGATTTTTTTGTGTATATCCCTTATATCTTTACAAATGTAATAGCAGATTTGGGTTTGTTTTTTTAAAATTTATTTTTAATGTATTTAGTACAAGGTCTCACTGCACAGATCCGACTCATAGTGATCTTCCTGTGTTCAGCCTCCCAAGCACTGAGATTACAGGCTCCTACCACCATGCCCAGTCTCAATCACCATCTCAGCACACCCCGGGGGCGGAGCACAGCAGGCAGGAGAATCAACCTCCAGCCCCTGCATCTGCCTGAGCAGGCACTTTAATCTGCTGAGCTCTCTCTGGCTGGCCTTCTAATCGTGGATTTGAAATTTTTACAGCATCTACAGTGTTAACTGCCCAAGAATCATTCTCCGCTTCGCTTGGACATTTGCAGAATAGAAGCGTCAGCTGTGACTCCAGAGGACCTGCCAGTAAAGCCGGGTTTTTATATGGGTAAGAAAATCGAATTGGGGCCGGCCAAATAGCTCAGCGGATTAAAGCACCTGCAAGCAAGTACAGAGGTTAGGGGTTCGATTCCTGGGCCTGCTGTGTTGGCACACACCTGTAATCCCAGCTCTTGGGAAGCTGTAAACAGGAGGATCACTACGAGTTTGATCTAGTAGTGAGACCCTGAATACCTTGTAGACCCTTCCCTAAAATACAAAAAAAAAAAGAAAATTGAATCGTTCTCTTACATGGTCATCATCTATGTGGCATACACGTGTGTGTGTGTGTGTGTGTGTCATGTACAACAGCAGTGCTGAGCAGCGAAACAAGCACATTTGAATGCAGCGGCCCCTCACTTATCACGGAGGCTGCGTTCCAGACACCCCTGAGAAAGCGAGAATCAGCGAAGTAGTGATGTCGTATTTATTTTAGTATTTATATATATTTTAAGGTTTTATAGATCCCACACTCCTGTAAACCTTCCCACACTTTTAAAAACACTTCTAATATTCTTAGCCGTTTTCTAAACTCCTAAACCTACATAATAGTAACAACATACATATACTGTGTGGTACAGTATGTATTCATCCACTAAAGAAGCACATACTGTATGTTCTTGTAATGTTAAAATTAACATTTTTAATATATTTTAAAATTTTAGGCAAAAATTAAAACCATGAATACTACTCATAAATACGTTTACAGTATTGTACACTACCACAGAATCCCACCATATAGCAAAAAATCGATAATCTAGACTATTTTTTGAAAACCTATGAAACGGTCTGCAAAAGTCGAACCGTGAAATAGCAGGGACAACTGTATTACTCTTTGGAAAATTGGGGGTATTTTCTTTCTTTTTAGGGAGAATATACCTCCACAGGATGCAGAAGTAGTTCATCAAAATCCCTTGAAACAAGCTAACAAAACTAAACGAGTAAGTTATTTTGGGTCTTTGATTAAGGTACTAGTAGTGAATACTTTGTTTCCAGTTACTTAAATCTTTCAAAATATTTTTAGTCTTGCCCATTTGGAAGAGTCCCAGTTAACCTTCTAAATAGTCCAGATTATCAAGTGAAGACAGATGGGTCGATTATGCCAAGTTTTACAAAAAGGTATGTTTGAGTTTTTACTTTTAATTCATATTTAAAGATTGATACACGAAAGGCTTTAAGTCTTACTGAGTCACAGTAATTATTTTTAATTACTAATCACCAGTAATTGCAAGAAGCTACTGAGCTTCTAAATACTTTCTCTAGGAACCAAAAAAGAGAACGTGACTTTTTTGTTCTTTTCCCTCATTAAAAATACTTCCTAAAGGAACTAACGGAGAATTAGGAAAGCATGTCAGAACAAGGAAGTGACCAGGGGTCTGCCCTTTAGCTCAGTTGTTTAGGTGCCTTCTTCAGAAAAGCAGAGAAGTTCAGGATGCTGGTTTGATCCCCAGAGTCTCATGCCTTTCCAGACCTGCCCTGAAGGAATCCTGAAAACAAATCCAAAATTAAGGTGACCATGAAGTTTAAAGGGCTGCAGCACCCCTGTGGCCGCAGCTCCGCGCCTTGGAGCCCTCTTACATCCAGTGGCTTCTCTGGGGAGAGCCTCTTCCTAGTGCAGTCAGTCTCAGGGGACAACGGTATCTGTGGCTCCAGCTATTAGCCGCTTGCCTCAGAGTTAATGGCTTCCAGAAACAGGGCGTTGTCCCTTACCGGGCTGGAGGCCTAGTGTTCAGGCCCTGCCCTGAGAAAAATAAAGAGGTTAATCCAGCTGGGTGGTGTGCGGTGTCCCTTTAGCTCCAGCTGCTGTGTAGGGTCAACTGGAAGGATCTGCTGAGCCCAGCAGCGCAGCAAGACCCTGTCTAAAACAGTGGGACATCATAGACAGTGACATTGTTACCACGACCAACATGCCCCCTGCTATTAGCGTGGATGCTTATCCCAGTATGGGAACTGGGAACAAACAGTCTGGATCAGCTAGGGGAGAGTTTTTCTGGCTTATTCTTAACTTTGATCACCATGTACAGTACTATTTCAATTGGAAAAATCTTGTATTCTAAAGAATCATTTTGCAAAGAAACTTCAGTGAAAGATAACTGATTGTTTGTACTTGGTGTCTTTGATAATTAAAGTCCTTTTTACATTTAGGCTTTAGCTAGTGCTTGGTTAAGTACTGCCCCCCTTTTGTGCTCCTAGAGATTGAACCCAGTCCCTTGCACTGAGCTATAGCCTCTGCCCTTTTTTTCAGTATTTATTTTGAGATAAGATCTTACTAAGTCATGGAAATGTTTAGACTGGGCTTGGACTTGGGCTCCTCGTGCTAGGCCTCCTCAAGTGCTGGATTAGAGGCGTGTACCAGTATGCTGGGGAACGTCATGGTTTTTATCACTTTATTGTGCACTTGCGTTTCCAGCATCAGTGTAAATGAAGTGTAACAGAGACTTGCTCTCATTCCAAAAGAAAGAAATCCAAAACCACAGAAACGCCCCCAAACTCCAGCCATATTCTCGGTACCTGTTGGGAATGCCTGGTGCTAGGTATATGCAGGCCCACAAAAAATTTCCTGGTCCCTGCTTTGTAAGCTGTTTGTAATGTGAGCTGGGCTTTCCCTACATGCTTCTGTGCTGCATCTGGCTGTAGCTCTAGTACTTTGCAGGTAGCAAGGACGTCACAGCTGTCTCCTCAGCGCTTTTCTCAGGGCTTAGCACCTGACCTTCTGGCATCGTCATTTTTGTATCAGACTCAATGTCAGTTTTAAAACTAGCTTTTGAGAGGTTCTTGCAACTTAAAGTAGCCATTATTAAAAAGCCAACTTCAAAATGAAAAAATAAGGGGCTGGGGAGATGGCTCAGTAGAATAAGCGCTTCCCTGGCAAGCTCAAGGGCCTGAGTTCAATCCCCGGTTCTGCCAAAAAACAGGAAAGGAAAAATTATGTAGACCTAAGAGATTGATTTAAAAGTCAACATTAAAATTATTTTGTTCCATGGGTACTAGGCAGATCTCTGGATCAGAATGTCGAGATTTGACGGGCCCTGCATCTAAACCAAGTGGAAATAATTCCTGTGAATTGAGAAATTTAAAGGTACTTAAATATTTCTGTGCCATAACCATTCCTGATCTTAGATTCCTAGAGCCTTTTCTGGGGAAAGGGTCCAGGGCTCACCTGTCCGCAGCAGTGCTCCTGAAGCGAGAGAAGAGGGCCTCCAAGTAGGGGTGGAACGCCTTGGAGCATAGGGCGGTGGACAAGGTCAGCTGTCTCTTGGAGAACAATGGAGAAACATGCACTGGGCCTACGTTCAGGCAGCGTGGTTGGCCCGGATGTGGGAATCGCTGGGGGAGCCCAGATTCTTTTCCTTGCTATGTTGGATTTTAGGGTTTTGGTAAGAGCTTTAGGAAAAACCTCAGAATATTAGGGATGAGGTAAGGGGATAGTAACCAAGCCTGCCCTGCTAAGGCAGAGAAACTTTGTGGGCATCTCAAAGACAGGAAGTGACTTTAGTTATTGGTGCTGTGTGATTTCTTTAGGAGTTATTGCTGTTACAATATTTGACCTAAAACTCTGGGATCATGACATGTATTTTTAATGTTACTATCTTATAGTAACATCACTCTTCCAAGGTCTTAGATTCAAAATATTAAGTTTTTCTAATCCTGGATCTCTTAAGAAAGACTTGTGTTTGGGCTGGGGAGTTAGCTCAGCGGCCTAAGTGCCTGCCTGGCTAACGCAAGGACCCAAGTTCGATCCCCTGTACAGCATGCTATGCCAGCCCTGGAACTCTAGGTGAGGCGTGCTGGCCCTTAAAACCGGATGTTGTGATTCACGCCTATAATCCCAGCGCAGGGGAGGCTGAGACAGGAAGACCACTAGGAGTCTGAGTCATGTAGTGAAAACCTGTACAAATAAATAAGAGAGACTTATGCTTATTTATGTGAAAAAGTTTACTCCCTGGATTTAGAATAACTGTCTTGGGGTGATACAAATGTTAATTTTTATGAATGCTGTTATTTTTGGAGGTAAAATGCAATCATTAAAAAAATTAATTAGATTTTCTCTTGTTGCAAGGCTTGGTCTAGATTGCATTCAGACTTTGTAATCTTTTTTTTTCTTCAAGGGAAATATATTTTATTTTATTTTATTTTTTTGGGAAATATATTTTAGTAATTGAGTAACATGTCCAATGAAATGAAATTGGCCAAATTTATGGTTAAGGCCCTTTGTATTCTAGTAATTCAGGCTGTTAATATTTTTGGGAGTTTGAATCTACATGTAAGTAAAATAGATAATTGTACTAGTGGACTGGCCAGATAGCTCAGTGGTCTAAGGCATCTGCTTACGCAGGTGCAGGCACCAGGGTTCAATTCCTGGAACCGCATTCCATGCCATCCCCAGCCCCAGGGTGCAGTGAGGTGGCCAGAGACTGGGCGGAGTGGCGTGCACCTATAATCCCAATGCTTGGGGGTCTGAAAACAGGAGGATCACTACAAGTCCGATCTGTGTAGGGAGACACTGTAGACCCTGTACTAAATACATTTAAAAAAAAAAAAAAAAAAAAAGATAATTGTGCTAGCAATCTTTTCATAAAGATAAAACTTTAATATATTGAATAAGACATTACCATTAATGAGACTTTAATATCTTTTTTTCACGTAGTCTGTTGAAAACATTCAGTCTAAGGAATGTCTGGTATCAGACGAAAAGAGTTTTGAACTTAATACCGACTCAGTAACTCTGAAGAATAAAGCTGAATCAAGTCTTCTAACTAAGTCAGAAGGTAAGAGTGACAACATCAGTCCTTGTTTCTTCAGTTCAGATGACTACTTTCTAGTTAGGAAAATAGCTACTAAAGAATTGTGGTATGAGATGATCTTGGATGAAAAATATTTATTCCTGTAGCACAGAGAGTTCGTTCTCCTACAAGATGCATAAAAAGGAAGAAAGGAGGAGAAACACAATGGAACTAAATTGTTTTTTACAGTTGGCTAGACAGATTTTCTGGAAAGACCACTGAAGCTGTGTATATGGCCACCTTCCCTCTTTTATTAGACATGAGTTTTTGCTACATGGGTACTGTAATGTTCTGCGGTATATAGATGAATGAGACAGTGCTCCAAGGAGAGGAGGTTGTAATTCATTTGTAGAAGACAGAAAATTAGGGGTTGGGGGTGTAGCTTAGCAGCACAGCCCTTGCCTGGCAAGCACAAGGTCCTGAGTTCAATTTCTGGTACAAAAAAAAATATGCTGGATGGAATGCTGAGGTTGTTACAGGGACCACAGAAATGAAATCAGAAAAGAAACTGAATTGGTTTAGGTAAAATAAGGAAGTTTGTGGAGGAGAAGAAATTTAAAGAATTGTTAGGACTTTTTTTTTTTTTTTTTTAATGTATTTGGTACAGGGTCTCACCATACAGGGGGACTCGCAGTGATCCTTCTGTCTCAGCATCCCTAGCCCTGGAATTACAGGCATGTGCCACCATTCTGGGTGCCCAGGTGCGGGGCCGGTGTGGCATGGGATGCCAGGGATTAAATCCCAGTCCTTGTGCTTGCCCAACTGTTAGGATTTAAATGGAGAAATTATAGTAAGAAAGTGTTTCAAAGGGGAGCAGTGGTTTTCGCAAAAGAATATAATCATTTTAGGAACAAGAGATAGTAGTCATGCTGAAAACTAACACAGGTAGTTTACAAGCTAGAAGTAAGGCTAGGTAAATTCTGAATGTCCGTCTTAATTTTTCTTTTAAACTTGCGGAGTACTACTTAGGCTTTTCCCTCAGGACCATCGATAGAATCATTCATTCTGTCACCACAGTTGCCACCGTTGGGCCGAGGAGGAGCTCTGGGGCCCGGCGAGTCTTGCTGATTGTATGCTGGGCACTTTCCAGCTTATATTCCCCCAGGATTAACTCCTGGGGAAGCCTCAGCGGCAGGCAAGCAGGTCAGCCTGCCGCGCTGTCGCAGTCTTTTCTTAAAACCATTATTTTGATTGGGAACAGATTTCTATTGCTAACATTTAGTGGAACTTGTCCATATTTTATATTTTCTTGACAGCTATTAAAACTGGTGTGAGTCAGTTCTGTGTGCTTGTTAGTGCTATTTAGTTGACACCAACTTAGTATTTTTCAGGGGTTGCTGTCGAGTGCAGTATACTGATTTTATTATTAATTTCCTGCTTGCAGATTTGTTTCTGTAGTACTGGGGATTGAACCCAGAGTCTGACCCTGATCTACATTACCAGCCCTTTTTTAAAAAAGTTTTCAGACCCGGCCTTTGGTTTCCAAGGCTGGGCTCAGACTGGACCCTTCTGTTTCATTCATCGTGGGAGTGCTGTGCCTCCACAGGGAACCCCTTTCTGATTCTAACAGCCTGAGTGCAGTAGGCTGTTCTGTCGTGGCCTGCGTTCTGCTGCGCTGCCTTCATTCACCGTTGGCTGTGGAGCTCATCTGTGTTACTGTGCCGCATTTTCTTGCTTTTTCCTGCTGTATAGTATGGGCGTGCCACTTTTCTCTGGTCCACACCAAGCAGAGAAAAATTTGGGGGCTAGTATAATAAGTTTAATATGCTGAAGATAATACTTGTTCTTTCTTCCCTTTTTTATATGTATCTTAGGGAAGTGTCCACAGGGTATTCAGGGTCTCACTGCTAGATCGGACTCATAGTGATCCATCTGTTTACAGCCTCCCAAGAGCTGGGATTACAGGTGTGCACCACCATGCCCAGTCTCAGTCGCCCTCTCAGCATGCCAGGGATTGATGGCCCATGTCTGCCTAAGCAGGCACTTCAATCTGCTGAGCTATTTGGCTGGCCCTAAAACTTGCTTTCTTTTGAGTTTTAACATACTAAATTATGAAATTAAAAGCCCTGAGTCCAAGTTTAATAATTCAGTATGAAAATATGCTTGTTGCTTAGTCATGATAAACGTGTGTCTTCACAGGTGCACACATATGGGTAGAAGTACTGTTGGTAACTGGTGTGTGTGACCCCCGATGTCAGTGCAAGTGACACTTGATACAGGGGCTTGGGACTTTTTGTTGTTGTGTGGTTAGTTGCTTTTTCCTAGGTGGTCCTATGGCTTGAATCCAGAGCCTTTGCACTGACTTGCATCCTCAGCCCTTTTTTGTTTTTGCTTTGAGATAGAGAGATAAGTTACCTGGGCTAGGCCCAAACTAGTGATCTTCTGTCACAGCTCCCAGGTGTGGGGTGCCTGGGCCACCTGTGGAGTGGCTGTGGGAGGCGGAGCTGTCACTGCGCTGTCCTGCTCAGGGGAATTGTGAAGAATACTGCTAAGGATCACAATAAGTTCACAGCCATACGGAGCCCACAGCTCCGGGCGCCAGGTTGGATGCAGCTGGTGTGCAGTACGGTGTGAACATGCGGCAGTGTATCTGATTGTATGGGAGTAACAGTTTAAAGTCTAACAGATAGTACTACTGTAGGTACTTTGGTTGTCCTTGCGTTCCTGTGTACATTTTTCTACTGAGTGGATGCCAAGAGCAGAATGCTGGGATAGGGGGTGTGGTAGGTAGCTCAGCTTTATCTAGTGCCCACGTTCCCAGAGGAATGGTGGGTCAGCATTTTCTTCTGGCTTTGTGACGTCAGTTTTAATTTTATGCATTCTGGTACTGCTATCGAGCATCTTCTATTCATTTGAGTATCCTCTTGAGAGTAGTGGATTTTTTTTTTTTTTTTTTTTTTTTTGAGATAGGGTCTTCCTCTGTAGCGCATTTGGCCTGGAACTGGTGTCAATCCTCCTGCCTCTGTCACTGGAATTACAGGTGTGCACCACCACACCTGCCTGAAACGGTTGAATCTTGCACATTTTTCCTGTTTTATTGCATCTGTGCCTGTGTGGTGCTGAGAGAAACCCAGGCCTTGGGAAGCTGAGCCTGCATCTTCCACTGAGGGATGCCTCAACCCCGCAGTGATTTTATTTTTTAAGAGGTATTTATATCACCGAGATAAAATCTCTTTTGTTACAGGCATTACAAATAGCTTTCCTTTTTTGGGTAAGGGCTTTTGATGATAAATTCTTAATTTTAGTGAATTTTACTCACCAGTCTTTTTATATGGTGAGTACTTTCTGTAGTTTTAAATAAATCTTTCTGCATGCCAAAGTCAAAAATGTATTTTCATATTTTTCAGATTTGTGATTTTTACCTTTCACATTTAGGTTTTACTTGAATTTAATATTTATGTGTACAGAAGATACAGGGTCAAGATTAATGTTTTTTCTCATATTATTCCAGTAATGTTTATTGAAAAGATCATCTTTTTCTCTCTGAAGTTTTGTGGATGAGGTGACTCTGTAGGTGGCTGTGTTGGATTCTTCCTCGGTCCACGGTACATTTTGCCTGTGTTGGTAGTGTCTTTGCTACTGCCGTTTAGTCTTAGTGCCCATGAGCATAAATCTTTCAGCTTTGTTTTTTAAGAATATTTTGGTTATTCTGGATCTTTTGGATTTCCTTATAAATATTAGAATTTATGTAGCAGTTTCTGCTTTTCTTAAAATACGTATTTAGTACAGGGTCTATAGAGTCTCGCTACGTAAGTCGGACTCTAGTGATCCTCCTGTTTTCAGCCTCCCAAGAGCTGGGATTATAGGCGCACTACCACACCCAGGCTCAATCTTCATCTCAGCAGGGCCGGCACTTTACCAGGGATTGAGTCCCAGTCCCTGCCATCTGGCTAAGCAGAAGCTTAAGTCTGCTAAGCAATCTGGCCAGCCCTCAGTTTCTACTTTTAAATAATGGAAATTTAATTGGAATCTAACCGAACCTATAAGGAAACAAGGGACACACTGACATCTGTATTGTTTACCTCTCAAGTCTCCTACACTGTCATATCCTTTCACTTATGTAAAACATTGAGAGAAACCTTTTCTGTGTACAAATCTTGCATGTCTTTTGCTGGATAGTGTTGTTTTTTTTTTTTTTTTTTACACTATGACACTATACCTTACTTTCTCTTTTTTTATGCACTTACTAAACAACCCAGACTCACAGTGATCACCGTCTCAGCCTCCCCAGCACTGGGATTACAGGTGTGCACCACCACCCTGTTTCAGGGCTGGCACAGTGCACCCGGGGTTCTGAGACTAGCATAGCATGTGATACTGGGGACTGAATTTGGGTCCTTGCACCTGCCAGGCAGGCGCTTAGACTGCTGAGCTATCTCCCCAGCCCCGTGCACATTATTTTCTTGAAATATTGCCAGTATATAAAAATGTGATTGATGTTTACTTGCTGTTCTTGGGTACAGTGACATTGCCAATAGTTTCTCACATATTTGGGTTTGGTAGCATAGTCGTGTTTGGAAATAGCACCACTTTTGTTCTCTCTGATCCCTATAGCTTTTTTTTTTTTTTTCCTTCCTTCTTTCCTTCCTTCCTTTCGGTGGCACCGGGGATTGAACTCAGGACCTTGTGCTTGGCCAGGCAAACGCTTACTTTACTGAGCTATCTCCCCAGCCCCTTTCTTGTCTTTTAGAGTTGCAAAGACTTCCAGAATCCTTATGAGGTCTTCAGCGTTTTACCTTCTGTACGATAATTGCTGAAGTTTTTCAGTCCAATGTTCTCTGAACTTGGCCGCACTGTAGATTTTTATGGCTACTCTTATCATGTGGAGTGGGTTCTGTTCTATTTAGTGTTCAGTTTTTAAGATTAAGTTTATTGGTACATTTTAGGGACACATAATGATCACATTAATTACAGAAAATTTGTACCTGTACATGCTATAAACTTGATTTTTTTTCTCCAGTGGGGTTCTGTTTTATACCTAGATTGCTAAAAGTTTTTTATTACTGGATTGAATTTGATCAAAAACTTCTCAAAGCCATTGAGTTATTCATATTTTGTCTGTTCTGTGTTTATGTCATAATATATTTAAGAATAAATCTACTTTTGTGTCAGGGAGATGGCTCAGTGGTGTTAAGCACCTGCCTGGCAAATGCAAGGTCCTGAGTTCAATCCCTGGTACCAGAAAAATGAAATAAAATAAACCCACTTCGGCCATAGCAATTTAATATTTTATATATAATTCACTAATATTTTGTTTAGAATTTTTTCCATCTATTATGACTGAATAAAATTTTTATAGAGTATTAAACATTTTGCTGAGACAGTTTTGTTTAAAGACCCTTAAGAAATAAATTATAGGGTAGTAAAACTAGTAGACATCTATGAAATGGCACATTATTTTCTCTTTCCAGAATATTTAAGTCTGGCATGGTCTTTAGCAAAGCTGCATAACAATTTGGGAAGGTGGTTATGTCACAGCTTTGTGAAATGTATTTAGTAGAAGCAAACTCTTGTTAGTTTACAGCTTTTAGGGTTTTTTTGTGGGAGTTTTTTAGTAGGGGGTTCTTTCTGTTTTGTAGTACTTGGTATTGTAGGGCTATTTATCCTCGGCTTTTTTTTTTTTTTTTTTTTTTTAAGACAGAAGTTTACTAAGTCGCCCTGCCTAAGGCTCCTGAGTAACTGGAGTGTGGGTGCACCTAGGTCTCCCATCTCAGCCTATATAGCAGGGATTACATGAAGGTGTCACCCTGTACGGCCTTTGTTATTATCAAATATCCTCCTTTTTTTTAATGACAATAACAAATATAATTTCAGAAGCTAAAGAGCATCAAGAACCAAAGGCTCCACAGAGCACACGGAAACAGTGGCAATCTAAGAGGAAGTCAGAAGGTGTGAGCCACAACCCTGCTGCCGCCCAGTCAGAGCAGCGCTACATGCCAGATGTGACCCCAAAGGTTGATACAGAGGTACTTTCTTTTCCCTTAAAGTCCAGTACTGCAGTTACTCACAGTGCATTTCTCAGCCTCGGTGACCATGTTGCTTTTTTTTGTTAAATGCTTACATGCTGTATTTTATGAAATAGTTTACTAGTGCAGGGGTTGGCAGTCACATACTGTCCTCAGTGGTCCAGATCTAGTTTGCAGCCTGTGTTGATAAAATTTTATTGGAACACAGCCACGCTCATCATTGACATGTGAAGCTACTT